TTTCATTTATGCATGTATGTATTTATGTACTGATTTATTTGCTGGGCTGGGGATGGAACCTTGAACATGGGCCTTGAACATGCTAGGCAAGTGCTCTACCACTAACCTGCAATCCTAGCCCCTATAGGCCTCCTTGGGAGTTCTGATTCCTTAACTTTTTACTTTGAGTATTTTTCAATCATACAAAAATATTGAAAGTTACAAAAATCAATTTTATTTTTACCACCTGGATTCAAGAGTGACATTTGCCACATTTGCTGTATTTATATATTCATTATAGGTTCATATATTTTTTTAAATATTTATTTTTTAGGTACAGATGGACACAACATAATGCCTTTATTTTTATGTGGTGCTGAGGATCGAACCCGGGTCTCGCCCGAGCTCTACCGCTGAGCCACAATCCCAGCCCACAGGTTCATATTTTTAATTTGGATTTAAGTTGTATATATCCTGACATTTCATCTTTCCACACTCTAGAACAGCCTCTAGAACCCTCTAGAACAGCCCAAAACATCACACAAGCTCAAGAACTGTGATATCACCTAATGAAGTTAACCATGACATGTCAATTAAATAATTTGGGGCTTGCTGCACCCGATGGCACGACTGTAATCCCATGGACTCAGGAGGCTGAGGCAGGAAGATTGCAATTTTCAGACTAGCCTCAGTAACTTAGCAAGATCCTGTCTCAAATGAAAAGGAAAAAGGGCTGGGCATGTAGCTCAGTGGTAAAGCACCCCTGGATTCAATCCCCAGTGGTGTGGAGGTGGGGAATCTATGACAGTCCATATTTAAATTTTCATAGCAGTCCCAAAATGTCAATTATGTTTCCTTCTGAATCTGAGCCCAATTCATATCACCCATTGCATTTGATCATCTCATTTTTACTTTATTTATTTATTTTTTTTTTAAAGAGAGAGTGAGAGAGGAGAGAGAGAGAATTTTTAATATTTATTTCTCAGTTCTCAGCGGACACAACATCTTTGTTGGTATGTGGTGCTGAGGATCGAACCAGGGTCGCACGCATACCAGGCGAGCGCGCTACCGCTTGAGCCACATCCCCAGCCCCTCATTTTTACTTCAGTCTTCCCACCCTGATCCCCACACCGACATTTTAAAGAGATGCCCATGGCCCTGCAGAATGTTCTGTCTGGATTGTTTCCTCAAGGTTGTCGTTGGACTTGTTCTCTTATCCTTCTGCAAAAGGGAGGTTGGGCCTAAAGGTCCAATTGGATTTGAGTCACATATTTTCGACAAGGTTGGTCATAGGTGGTAGTGTGTGTTTTGCCAGTAGCACCTGCCTCTCTATTAGGGATGCTGAAGTCAGTCATCAGGGTAAGAGAGTGATGGCCCTAACTTCTGGTGGGAAAATACCCTTTTTCACTTTGTGATTAACAGTTATCTAGAAGAGGGTAATAGTGCTTTGTCACCCTGCACATTGCTCAAACATTTCTGAATGTTTTAGCATCCCTTGGTGACTGGCCTGAAGTAAGTATTTCTTTACAGTTACAAAATGACTATTTTCTGTTTTTTTTTTTTTCTGTTTTTACTTTCCTATATTTAATAGGTTCTTTTTTTCTTCTTCCTTCCTTCTTTTCTTTCTGATACTGGGGTTTGATTCCAGGGCTTCATGTGCTTTACTACTGAGCAACATCCTCAATCCTTTTTTTCATATATATATAGTTGTCAATAGACCTTTATTTATTTGTATGTGGTGCTGAGAATCGAACCCAGGGCCTCACATATGCTAGGCAAGCGCTCTACCACTGAATCATAACCCCAGGCCATCCCCAATCCTTTTTTTACATTTTATTTTAAGACAGGGTCCTGCTAAGTTGCTGAAGTTCTAACTTGTACTCCTCCTGCTTCAGCCTCCCAAGGAGCTGGAATTACAAGCCACCACGCCTAGTGCCCAGCACCATGCTATGTATGTTTTTGTCACATAATGTAAAATTTCCCATCTTAACTTTCTTTTATTGCTTCTGAGGAGTGAATCCAGGGGTGCTTAACCACTGAGCAACATCCTCAGTTCTTTTTTATATTTTGAGACAGGGTCTCACTAAGTTGTTTAGGGTGTAAGTTGCTGAGACTGGTGTTGAACTTGTAATCCTCTTGTTTTAGCCTCCGGAGCCATTAAGGATTACATGCATCACCTCCACTGGCTTATTTCCTTTTTAATAATAAAACTTATATTAACTTTATTTGAACTTTTTTTTTTTTTGTCATGCTGGGGATGGAACTAGGACCTGAACATGCTAGGCAAGCACTCTACCACTAAGTTATGTCCCCAGCCCATTTTGTTTCTTAGACAGGCCCGTTAGCCTTGAGCTCCTGAACTCAAGTGATCCTGACTAGATGGAACCACAGGTGTGCCACCACACCTGACTTGGGTAGTTCTCGTTAACTTTTGGAAGGTCGCCATACTGTTTTCCATAGCAGTTGTACCATTTCACAATGCCATCCACATTAGACTAGGGGCAATTCTTTTCAGTGTCAATTTCTGAGTAAGGAATTAACATTAAACTCTGATGGTGGCAAATACAGTTTTCTTCCAAATATGAATGAATGGATCTCTATTTACCCAGTTTATAGTCCATTGCAGTCATTTTTTCTTAATGTTCACATTAACCACATTTGACCAATGAGAAATATCTTCAAAACAGTTCCGTTGACCTTTTGAAATACTTGAAATACTGCTTTCTGGAACAAAGTGCTCCATCCAGCCCCAGTTAGATTTTGACTCATCCGTTTCTCCAAGGAGCCCTGTGGGGAATCAAGATCTGGGTGTTACACATGTGTGTTGCTACTGGGGTTTCTACATTCCTTTAATAGACAGAAACAGATTAAAAATAATGAGTTCACATTGATATTTCCAATTCAAGTTTAACATTTCTTTCTTTCTTTTTGGTGCTAGGGATTGAACCCACCCAGAGTCAATGCACTACCAGTGAGCTATATACCCAGCCCTGATATCTTTTATTCTTGTATTGCTTTTCTCTATAGCACTGTTCTACATCTTGCCTCTCCTTAAGATCACTGCAAATCTGTCCATGGAAATCTTCCTTATTCTTATTTACAGCTCAATAACCTTTTTTTTAAAAAAATTACTATAGTCAGGTGAGGTGGCATCCATCTGTAACATCTGCAATCCCATTACCAGGGAAGCAGGAGAATCATAAGTTCAAGGCCAAGCTAGGCAATTTAGTGAGATTCTGTCTCAAAATAAAATTTTAAAAGTGTATGTGTCTGTGTGTAGAGGTGGAGGGAGCTGATATGTAGCTCAAGTGGTAGAGCACCCCGAAGTTCAATCCCCTGCACCATAAAACCAAACTTTTTTTTTTTTTTTTTTGGTAATGGGGATTGAACCCAGGGGCACTGGATCACTGAGCCACAACCCCAGCCCTTTTTATATTTTATTTAGAGACAGGGCTTCACTAAGTTTCTGAGGCTGCTTTGAATTTATGATCCTCTTGCCTCAGCCTCCTGAGCTTTGGGATTATAGGCATGCACCACAGTGGTTGGTAAAACCAAACTTTTACCCATACTTTCAAACATATGAGAGCCAGGTGTGATGACATGTGCCTGTATTCTCAGCTATTTGGAAGGCTGAGGCAGGATTGCTTAGGCCCAGTAGTTTGGGGCCAGCCTGGGCAACATAGTGAGATGCTGTCTCCAAAATCAAAACAAGCACAAAATGAGAGAACAATGAGCCCCCTATTCCTATGGCTGAGCCTCTGGGATTGCCAGCACACAATCTACAGTAGTCCTTTGGAATTAAACCCATACAAGAATCGCTGTGAACATGGGCATGGAGGGTCACTCGAGTCTAGTGACCACAACTTTGGATGACCACTAATTAACCCCTCCTTCCATTCCTCCACTACATCACTGACTAAAGTCCTTATTTCAGGCACATGGGACATTGTTTCTTGTAACTACCTTCTTTGCTTGCAGTAACTAGGACACCAGTGGTCTCAGCCCACTGTTATGTGGGCAGAAGTCACAGGCAGAGAAACACTTCTGAGAGCACTGAGAAAGGAGTGAGCAGCTGCGGGGAGTGAAGTCAGGAAGGGGTATGAAACCCGAGATCCATTTTGGAGGTGCTCCATGTGCAGAGGCGCAGCAGGGAAAGCACAAGGTGAGGGAGCTGCTCAAGCACAGTGGGTGGTGTGTGGAGAGGTGGGAAGCTGGTGGCTTGGCATGCCATGTTCAAGTCTAGACCCTGCTGTGCAGCATGTAACATGGCAAGAGCTAGAGTATAGCAAGGGGCCTCTGCTGGATGACCGGAGCTTGGACGGGAGTGGGGAAACTGAGGCAGCACTACCAGGCCAGAACAGTGTGGTGTGAGGGACAAGAGCCTGAACAGAGGCAGCAATAAAGGGGATGGAGGAAGAGCTTCTGAAGTCACCCACGGGGTGTGAGGGACAGCGCAGATTCCCAGTGCACAGTGGTGAGACCTGCATGGATCATGATGTCATTGCTCAACACAGGAAAGGGGTGGGGGCAGAGTGAATTTTCCCTGTGAGATCAGAAGTCACCTTAGTCCCTAGTAGCAGGGACACCCGGTATCCTCAGACACCATCCTCAGTGGGAATAAAGGTGGGCAGGCACCCTTTTATACTAACCTGTTATTCTGAGGATTAAGACTTAGCCAACTCACTCGGTTTCTAGGAAGTGGAACAGCACTCTCAGCTTGGGGATGCCAACTCAGCTGTGTCCACTGCCCAGGCCCCCACTGCACAGTCACTGCTGCTCCAACTGGGCAGCTCAATGGCAGGGCTAGCGGCAGACTGGCCTCAGCCTACTTCCGGCTCTATCAAAGAGCCCTTAAAGGGGAGGTGGCCTTGCTGCCAACTCCCCAGACCCTGGCTGATTTCATCATTTTTAGGGTTTGCTTCTCTCCTAGGTCAATAGTGAAAATAAAATGTATTGGCAAACAGCAGATACTTTCCAAGTACTTTACAGTTTAGAAAGCTTTTCCTTCAATGATTCTTCCAAACCTCTGCATGAAGCTTTATTGCTGATTTGACAGAGTGGCATACAGACCACAGGACTTGCTTTAGGCCAGGATGCCAGACCAGTGGATGCCCACTGTACTTGGCACTCTGTTTCCCTGCTGCACTGCCTTCTACTAGACCTCCTGGTATCCTTGGCTATGGGGGAACCCCCAGAGCCTGAGAGCAAGGGGGCCTTTACAAAGACCCTCTTAGGATGAGCAGGCAGCAGCAATTCCCCCAGGGTGGCCAAGTCCCAAGGATAAGATGGGGCAAGAGTGACTATTTTTATTTTGGCGACATTAGGGATAGTTTGTCATATTCCTCAGATCACATAACAGTACCAGGCATCAATTTCAAGACCACCTTTCTCAGTCTGTGCCGGGCCCATGGAATCTACAGCTTTTCACAGCCCGGCTTCCTTCTTTGACACTCAGCGCTTCCGCTGGACCAGAGCTGCCAGAGACCTCAAAGGCAAACTGCCCCCTCTACTCTCAGGCTGGTGGTGGTTGGGAAACCCATTTTGGCCCAAGAGAAGCTGGTCAGCCATTGGTGTTGCCCAGGGACTGCTGCTGGGCAGAGATAACAACAGAGGAAGGGTGGGGTGGCAGCAGCTCTCCCAGGAGCAGTGCTTTCACATAAACAATGAACTGCTGCCGGCCAGAGCAGGAGGTGATTCATCTCCCCGACTGCAGATCTCACTGGCTGCGCCTGCTGGGCACTAAGGGACTAGGTGGCCTTGGCCAGGTGCCCATACCAACCCCCTCTGGTGCACATTGGGGATCTCACCCCAGCCTTTCTGGTACCTAGCCTAATTCTGAAAGCCTGGGCATGTCCAAGAAGCGGCCTGTAGAGTGCTCAATTGCACCAAGACAGCTGAGGTCTGCTCTTGCTTAAGAACCAGAGGCCTCACTCTCCTCCCTGGGGCCACACCTGAGCATGCCAAGAGGCAGACAGTGGGAACAATCAGTGACTTACTGGGGCACCCCTCTGAGCAGTGCCACAGGCTTCCATCACCCCACTATCAATCCTTAGGCAATCAATAATCATGAATAAGAAGATGGAGGGAGCATTTGAGCTTCACATTTGCCTGCAAACAAACCGTGGGAGAGGCCAGTGTACCCCAGATGCTGGGACAGAAGAACACGACACTTTTAATTGGGTGAGACCCCAAAGTGGTGTGTGGACAGACAGACCCTATCTGCTGTATCCTTTGCCTCTGCTACAATGTCCTTCTGGTTGGAATGCCACACAGAGGCTCCTCTCAGATGGCACCTTGGGAGCAGGTCCAAGTCCTGAAATATACAGCAGCCACTAGGCTGCACAGTCAAGCCCTGGCATGGCTCTGTCACTGCTTGGCTTTCTTCACGATGGTGCCCACAGCAGAGATGACTGTGGTCTTGGAGCCGCTGGCGCTGGTGGTGACAGTGACTACCGCTGGCAGGGTGGCAGTGGTGGTGAGAATGGTGGGCTGCGCTATTGTCGTCACTGGGATGGCGGAGTCCCACTTGCTCTTTCTCTTTTGGGCATCTGGAGATAATGCAGAAGAAGAATCAGGATAAAGACCAACCAAAAGCAGAGCACTCCATGCCCTCAGGGCAGGAATGCAAAGGCCTTGGTCCAAGAAGCCCCAGGTGGCCAGTAGGTGCCCTAGACGAGCCCAGGAAACCCTTGCTAGACTGGTGTGGCCAGTCCGGGTAGAGCTGGGCCAAGCCATCCTACCTGCGACGGCTGTGCTGGCAGTGGTTGTGGTGGTAGCTGTGGCATTGGTGGTGGTGCCTTTCTTGGTGCCCGTCACAAACTCAATCTGGAGGGGGGAGAGAGGAGGATAAGGCCAATGCAGAGCTATGTGCCTACTTCCTGTGCCATCCATCTGCTCCAGGGGGACAGGAATTTGGCAGTACACAAAGAGGCATTGAAAGTCACCTCAGCTATGAGCATCTGGGGAGGGAGAGGTGCCTGGAAACAGCCCGAAGGGACTTTCACCACTCTTCAAAGAGCTTTCCCAGCAGACAGCAGTCCCTCCCGGCATCACAGGATTGCGCATGCCCGGCACCCCTGCCCACCACCCCACCTCACATGCCCAGAACCGGTTGGCCAGGCCCCTCCTCCTCACACCCAGGAGGCGGTGCCCGCCCGCACAGGGGAAGGACAGCTCCGGTCCCCAGGCGCTGCAGACACGTCCCTGCAATAAGCCTGGGGTTTGGAAGGGAGAGGGAAAGAGAGAGAAGGGAGATTCAATCAAGGGTTAAGAATGAGAAACCAGATTATCCCCTCACACCAGCTCCCACCAGCCAGGGCCTTGAGAGGGCCACCAGTGCGTCCAGGCCCTGCAGCCCCTCTGCTTGGGGGTGAGGGGAGTATCCTGGGGGTTGCAGCTGCCGTGAGGCTGACCAGGTCTAACAAGAGGTGGGAGGAGCCAGTGTCTGATGCCCAGCTTTCTCTCTTGGAGACTCTTGTTATAAAGGCACAGTGTCCAAAGGATGATGCTTTAGTCTCAGAGCTAAATTGATGCTTATGAAGAACCCACACCACACAACTGGGAAGAAGTGGTACTCAGGGTTCTAAAATGAGGGTTCACCTGGCTGTCAGACATGGGACTTACAAGGAAGCACCCAAGCAGGCTGCTGAGGTCAGTTTTGCAGGGCAAGAAATGCAATGGCTGGAGCAGGCTAGGGTGCCTACACTCTCAGAAGGAAATACTTCCCTCCATCCAGGTCAGGGAGGGCACTGATGACCCAATGACCCACAAGAGACAAGCTACCTGAACTTTGAAGTTGTGAATGGGGGAGGGAAGGTGAGGGAGAGCGTAATATCTGAACTACAAGACATCAAGAATGGAACAGTGGGAGGCTTCTAAAAGCCACGTCAGAGGCTGGGCCACAGCCTGCTTGGTGCAGAAGGGCAGGCCTAGGCTCCTCAGAGCCTCAGCAGGTGACAAGTGTGGAAAAGGGTGGGTGTGGGAGATGGGGACTCTCAGCTTATCCATCAGGACCTGAATACCCAATGCTTGCCTTTCTGATCCTGCAGGTCTGTAACCACTTACTTTGGTTCGCTCCTTTTTGGCTTTTTCCAATTTGTCCATTTCAATCTTCTGGGCCTTGGCTAGAAGAGACAAGATGGTGTTACAAGGAACCCTATGAGCAGCCTAATCCTGTGGAGCCTAATCCCCTCACTGCTCGGGGCACTGTATTCTTTTTGATGATTTTAAGGCCTTTGTGGGCTTAGAATTCTTTTGCATTAGGTGAAATGAAATGCCAGCCCTTAGTCAATTTAGAGCAGGGGCCTCAAAACAAGGACCTGGAGGCTGCATATCTTGTTGGGAAGGGTTAGTTACTCCTGAGCTCCAGGAACTGTTGGGTTTGGGAATGTGGGGATTATCTTCCTACTGACAAAGAAAAGCTACAATTATGGAATTTTATACAAAATGTTGGCAACTAATTCAAATTAAGAAAAGAAAAAATTTGTGTGGGGAAAACAAAATATATGTATAGGCCAGGAACTGGACCATGGGCTATTGGCTTAAGACCTGTAGCTTGAAGGCTACCCTTTGAAATCCCCCTGGCCTTAGAATACAATTCCCCAGCCTGCCTGGAGCATTCTGCCCGCATCTGCCTGGCTCCTACACCTCTCCAAACCTTAGCTGCAACACGGCTTCCTTGGCAGGGTCTTCCTAACCCTTTAGCCAGGTGAGGTGACCCTGATTACCAAACCTTCCTCAAACCCCCTTGGGTCCCCCCCCCCCCGTACTGGGGATTGAATCCAGAGGCACTCTACCACTGGAGCTACACTCCCAGTCCTAATTTTTTGAGATAGGGTATTGTTGAGTTGCCCATGCTGGCCCTGAAGTTGTGATACTCTGTCTTGAGCCTGATGAGTTGCTGGGACTACAGGTGTGTGCCACTACACCCAACACTCTCTCCTCATCTTAATACCCATCAGTGCTGGAATTACTGGTTTCACTATCTTCCTTGCTATATTCAAGTCTTTGTGTGTGTGTGTGCACATGCGTGCATGTGTATGCACGCATGTGGGGTACTGGAAACCAAAGACCTCACATATGCTAGGGAATTGCTCTACTTCTGAACTATGTCTCCAGCACTTTAAAAAAAAAATATTTAAAAGTTTTGAGAGGGTCGTGCTAAGTTGCCCAGACCTGTCTTAAACTTTTGGTCCTTCTGCCTCAGTCTCTCAAGTAGCTGGAATTAACAGGTATATGCCCCCATGCCTGACTTATATTTAAGTCTTGTAAGTTACAGATGGGGTCTGTCTTATTCAAGACTGAATCAACAGCCCCTTGGATGTGGCCTGACATAGAGGAGACCCTGAAACATGTGTGGCCTGGATCCTGGATGATTGACTAGATGGCTGAATGGCTGAACAGAGGGGTGGATGGACGAGTGGTGGGTAGATGGAAAGCAGGTTACCTAATGCCTCATAGTAGGAATCCTCAGACCAGCCATGGGGGTCAAACATATCCTGAAAAAGAAAAGATCAAGATGCAATCAGCAGAGACCACCAGGTAACAATGATTCGAAGAGTCTTTCCATGGACCTTTTTGGCCTGGAGCCCCCTGTTCTCTTGACAGCACAGGAGCTGGCATGATTCCCAGCCATGGGTAGCCAGAAAAAGCTCAGAAAAGAACACGGGAGTGGCAAAGTTCTTGGCTCAGTAACACCACCACCAGCTGGCCGATAGGAACAACAAGCATATACTTGGGTTCTAAGTAGTTAGAGACCAGGTCTGTTGCTGGCATTTCTTTGTTAAACTATTTCAGAATAGAAACTCAAAAACAACAGAGATGGGGCCTGTCCTCTTCAACCCGTAGTGCTGCTACATGGACCTTTCTGTAGCTCTAGGTCAAATACAGTGGAGCAAACACAGAGTTCTGGGAACCCTCTTCACCCTCGAGCTGCAAAGTGTAGGACGCACCTTTGGGTAGTTGGTGCCCAGCTCATCAATGGCACAGAACTGGATCAGTTTCTCATAGATGCTGAAAAGAAAACAGCCTCATCAGTGAGCAGGCACTGGTCCAGGTCTACAGGGCAATGAAACCACTAGTCCCTGGGGCTAAGATAAGAGCGGAAACTCTTAAGGCCAGTTATATTGTTCTAAGCAAGCTTCCTAATGGGGGGCCTGACCTCCTGGGCTCTGGCTTTCTACCTTCTTTGGGAGATGGAAATGTAGCTGGGGCAAGCACCAGGAGTGAGATGTCAGCTCTGCTGTGTCTAATCCAGATGTCTCTAACCTTCAGTCTGTATGGCTGGGTTGAGTCCACCACACTCAGGCCCATGCAGGGGCCAGAACAGGTCCCACTGTCACACATCACCTTCTTCCTGGGTTTGTCACTAGCCAGAACACTAGATGGACTAAGACCTAGATATACCTGTCCCTAAAACCTCTCATCTGTATGCAAAACCAACTTTTTAGAGTTGGAAGAAGAGTAACTCCCTTATTGAACAGATGAGGAAATTAAAGCCTTGAGAAGTTATGTGCTGTAGGAGCAGAGGAGTGACAAGAAACCAGCCAGGTCTCCCTGCATCAGCCCAAGACTCTTGGCTGCTATTCTGTAGGCTGGTTTCTATGCTTAGTTTGGATCTAATTGATAAAGCTCCACCTGGTTTAGACAGCTGGCTATGTGTCACAGGCACTTAGAATAAGGAGAATCTGGGAGATGGCCCTTTTTGCTCAAGAGGGATCAAGGCTGCCTCTCCTCAGCCCTTCCTAGGCGCATTCCTGGTTCCCCCATCTAACACCAGTGACTCAACTTACCTACAAGCTCATGGGAAACTCACCTAGGGTTCCGAAATTCTTTCTTCCTTTGGATGATGTAATTCATATCCATTCCCTCCTTTATCTTTCGCTCATAAAGCTTCTGGATCTTGTCCTATGAACAGGAACAGGACATATGACAGAAGACCACCCACCCACAATCCAGTCTGTGGCATAAACACAAGAGCCCCAGGAAGCCCAACTGCAGCCATATTCTCCTTTTCCACCCAGCCTTTAAAGAGCAGAGCTGCCCACAGGCAAGATAAACCAAGATGGGTCTGTTTTCATTGCTGATTTCTTCCAACCTTCTCTGGATGGCCAGTATAGTGAGGAGTAAAGATCAAGGTGGAGAAGGAACAGCGAAGAAAAGAAACAAACTCCTGACTGGTTATCAGCTCTCAAATCACTATAAGAAGAGTTTAAGGTGTTAGCTGTTTTTACATGATTTATGTTTGGTATTAGGGGTTGAATCCAGGGACACTATCACTGAGCCATATCTCAGCCCTTTTTAATTTTTATTTTGAGACAAGATCTCACTAAGTTACCAAGGCTGGGAACTTGCAATCCTCCTGCCTCACTTCCAAAGTTGCTGTGATTATAGAAGTGTACCACCATGCCTGGTTGGTTTAAAATTCCAACAGAAGGTTAAGTCCTCAGCAAAACTGTGAATTGCAACCAATAGACCTGTGACCTTTTCAAGGCAGGAGTAGAATGTCTTGGAGTGGTCTCACAAACTTCCTAGAATTTTCTTTCTTTTTCAATGCTGGGGATTGTGTATGCTAGGCAAGCATATTCCCACTGAACTAAACCCTCAGCCTTAGCAAGTCTTATGTGAGGCACTCACAAGTGGCTGGGTAATGCCAGTTTGTCAAGGGTCACAATCAAGGGTTAAGAGCTCATGTCATTTTGACCAAAATGCTCACACAGATCCCTGACCTACTCTCTATGGGACACAGGAGAACTACCTGGCTGGGATCCAGGATAACCTACTGGGCCAGTAATATGCTATCCTCAGGATGGGGGTCTTGCCTGGCCCCGGTGGCATATGGTATCAGTGCTGCCCAGTGACAATGAAGACTTCTTTGAAAGTGTGTTCTTGGGCTGGGGATGTGGCTCAAGCGGTAGGTAGCACGCTCGCCTGGCATGCGTGCGGCCCGGGTTCGATCCTCAGCACCACATACCAACAAAGATGTTGTGTCCGCCGAGAACTAAAAAAAATAAATATTAAAAATTCTCTCTCTCCTCCCTCCCCCCCCCTCCTCTCAAAAAAAAAATTCTCAAAAAAAGAAAGTGTGTTCTTATCTAGGAAGGTGGGTAAGATCTAATTCAAGATCAAACTTCAGCATCCCCTCACTTGGCAGTTAAATATACAGATTCTTCAGAAGGAAAACATTTGGGCACTCTTCCCCTGCAAGAGGAGGTGGGGTGGGGGCAGGGCTGGAGGTCCCAAGTGATACTCCTTAGGATGGACATGTCAGGAGAGGTGGCCTACTCGCCTGGTCAGAAGGCAAATTTTTCTGCCGAGATGGACCTGAAGAAGCACTGAAAGATTTGTAATCCATTTAACTACCAGGGAAGAGAGAAGCTGAGAGCGACAAGCTGCTTCCCTCAATGGGTTCTCATCAAGGGCAGTGGAAGGAGGCCTTACATAGAAGGCTGGGCAGCTTTCGGTGAACTTATCATATAGCTGACTTGGTTGGGTTTCCAAATGGGTTCTGCTACCTCAGGTGAACTAAACCATTTGCTCAAATGCCATGGTTTCTACCCAAGGGAGGATTGAATGAGGAGGAACATTTTGAATTTGAGGGCTGAATGGCTATCTGGCTCTGTATGGCAGATCTTTGGAACTGTCCTTACAGGCTAGAGCCCATTTTCTGCCATGGAGGATGACTTGATCCTGAGGGTGCTGGGAAACAGACAACTCAGCAAAGGGAGGAGACTTCCCTGAAAGGAAGACAAGCTGCACTGTCCCCCAGCCCTGACTCTAGCCCTCCCCTGGTCTGCTGCATTCTTCAACCCCACTCCCATTAGTCATCCATCCATTTGGGTGGTGCCAGGGGCTTGCTGAGTAGCCAGAGGCACTGAGCAGAAGCTGCAGGATCAAAGGCAAAGCAGGTGAACCAGGGCCACAATTGCACAGCCTTGGGCATCGGGCCTATTATTAGTTACAAGGTCCCACTCACAGCAGAGGGACAAAGAGAAGCCACAGTATAGTTTGAAATCCAGAAGTCCTGCCAGCCAAGGAGCAACTGCATGAACAGTTCCCACCACTAGGGATTTCAAGGCCAAAGGTAGGCAATAAATGGCTGAAATCTGAATTTAGGAATGAGGACAGGAATGTTATGCCATATAAATGCTGTACTTTTGGCTGAAGGTGTAGCTCAGTGGTAGAGTGCTAGATGTACCAGTGGTTGATGTGTGAGGCCCTAGGTTCCATTTCCAGTACCGCAGGAAAATAAAAAGTATAAATGCTGTTTTCATATTAGCATAATTTACTTTACAGTCTGATATGTCCTTATTTTGTCAACACAGTTTTTTACCACTGGGTCAACTGCGTGCAGTGAAATGTGCATGTTTTTTCCTGCGGGGACATAGGCCTTACTAAAGGTAGGCTAGTACAATATCAGGTGCCATGAACTATGGGTGCCAATTCCTGAGATCTGGCTAGCTAGATAACCAGGATTGTAGCTCCTGATCATGTGGCAGCCTATTTATTCATTTATTATTTTTTGTGGTGCTGGAAATTGAACCCAGGACCTTGGTCCCTTTTCCCTGCTGTGGCCCCACCAGGTAGCTAACCCATACCCACTTCATCCATATTGGCCTCAGCAGCCAGGCCCTGTGCTTACTTGTAAATGATTAGAACACCTGCCAGGGGGTTCTGGTGGGATCTTGATTTCATCAGGCGACATGTTCCGGACCCTTTCGGAAAAGGAGGCTGTTGAGAAATTAGAGGGAAAGATTCTATAGGTGAGGGTATTAGGACAGGGGACAGAGATAACATTTTAAATGCTGCATTTTTATGTTTTCAGGAAGGGATAAATGCTGTGAAAATGGTAAAACAGTTGGGTAGGGTAGCATATGCCTATAATCCCAGTGACTCCAGAGGCTGAGGTAGGAAGAATGCAAATTTGAGGCCAGCTTCAGTTTTACTCAGTGAGACCTTGTCTCAAAATAAAATATAAAAAGGGTTAGGGATTTAGCTTAGTGGTAGAGCTCTCCTGGGTTCACACCCAATACTGGGGAGGTGGGGAGAAAAAAAAGAAACAAACAATAAAATAGGGTATTCTGTTGTCACCTGAGCTGATCAGGAGCCAGACACATGTCAACCTGGGAGAAGAGAAATTTAGGTAGAAGGTCTAGATGAAAAACATGTAGGGCTGGGGATGTGGCTCAAGCGGTAGCACGCTCGCCTGGCATGCGTGCGGCCCGGGTTCGATCCTTAGCACCACATACAAAGATGTTGTATCTGCAGAGAACTAAAAAATAAATATTAAAAATTCTCTCTCTTAAAAAAAAAAAAAGAAAAACATGTATTACCAAGTCCTAGTGGTTAACTTTTTCTCTTTTTTTGTGGAGTAGTACTGGGGATTAAATATAGGGCTTCAAGCTTGCTAAGCAAGTGCTCCTATCACTGAGCTACATCCCCAGCCACCCCATCCTCCTTTTTTTGAGACAGGGTCTCACTAAACTGTTTAGGCTGGCCTTGAACTTGTGATCCTCCTACCTCAGCCTCCTAAGACAGATTACAGGTGTACACTACAGGGCCTGGTTCCCACTGGTTAACTTTTTTTTTTTTTTAATATTTAGTTATGGATGGACACAAAACCTTTATATATATTTTTTTCCATGAGGTGCTGAGGATCAAACCCAGTGCCTAACCCCAGCCCCTCATTGGTTAACGTTAAAAAAAAAAATTTTTTTTTCAGTCGTTGATGGACCTTTATTTTATTCATTTATTTATATGTGGTTCTGGGAATTGAACCCAGTGCCTCACACGTGTGAGGCAAGTGCTCTACCACTGAGTCACAACCCCAGCCCCCACTGGTTAACTTTTTTAAAAATATTTTTTCCCTTAGTTGTCAACAGATCTTTATTTTATTTATACATGGTACTGAGAATTGAACCCAGTGCCTCACACATGCAAGGCAAGTGCATTACCACTGAGCTATAGTCCCAGCCGCTGGTTAAATTTTAAGAAAAGAATATGCCCAGTGCTGTGCTGGGAAATGTTTCACAACCAGCTGGGGGAGAGGGATCCTTAGCATTTGCTGATTCCCATGGTGTAAATTTCCTTTCTGTGGCCAATTTCAGGCTACCAATGTGAAGTTAGTGAACACATGGTTGGGAGGAACATGCAAGTCAACTCACTGTGCATTGGCTCCAGCCTCCCACTGCGTAGTCTCTAAAACACCTCTACTAGAACTCTAGAAATCAGAGTTGCTCAGTATCAGCCTTCTTGTCTTGGGCTGACCTGCCTAGGGAGAAACTGTATTCAGGGTTCCTGAGATTTGGGGTTCTAAGAGTCTAAAACTGCTTATGCATAAGGACACTTTTAAAAAAAATTACCTGTTGATGATTGGTTTATGGTCTTTTTCTTGGCCCAACTCATTTTTGGGAACAAAAGGCCTGATTCTGACATTAAAACCACAACCCCCAAGGGACGACTCCCTCAGAGATTTGCTGCTGCCCACCGAAGCCTCCCACTCAAGCCTCGCCCTCTCTTCTCACTCCCTTCCCTGTAGCCTCTGGCCACTCTGGTGACCACAGTCCTGCTCTGGATCACTCAAACAATGCACTGTTTGTTGTAAAATTCTGCCTGTGCTCTTTAAAACATTCCTTCATGAAAAGGACCATACAATGAGCAAATAGCAGGCAGAACAGGGCGGGCAGGAGGAAGGGAAAGAATGAACAAGCTACCACCAATAACACCCAACAAATACTTTCTGAGGACCTACTGTGTGTGCCAGGTCCTCTGGCTAACTCATTTCTTTATTTCTTCCTTTTGTGGTACTGGAGATTGAACCCAGGACTACTTTCGCAAGGAACACTGTCCCCAGTCCTTTTTTAATTTTTGAGATAGTGTCTAAGTTGCTGACGCTGACCTAGAACATGTAATCCTCCTGTCTCAGCCTCCTGAAAAGCTAGAATTACAGGGGTGCATAACTAACCTATTTCTTAGACCACTTATCTGCTCTAAGAAATGGGTTAGCTTTGCACCCCTGTAATTCTAGGGGGAACAAGTGGTCTCCTGGACTGTGGAGACTGGCCTAGAACAGCCTTCTGGGTCTCCTCTCCCAAGGCTAGGATAATATTATTTTTGTATCAGGAGTGAATCCAGAGGCACTTAACCACTGAACCACATCCCCAGCACTATTTTATATTTTTTATTTAGAGACAGGGTTTCAATGAGTTACTTAAGGCCTTGCTAAATTGCTAAGGCCGGTTTTGAACTTGCAATCCTCCTGCCTCAGCCTCCACAGCTGCTGGGATTACAGGCATGTAACACCATGTCTGGTTATTATTATTATTTTTTAAAAAGACAAGCTCTCACTATGTTGTGGAGGCCTTGTTGTAGAAGTCTTGAGCTTCTGGATTCAAGTGACCTCAGCTTCCTAAGTAGCTGGGACTACGAGCCTGCCACCTGTACTACTTAGGCTAGAAACAAACTCTCCAGACTTGTCAGTCTAGCTGTTGGGATTCCAGCCTGCTCACCCTACAAACACCTTAAGGCTGGGGGTCAAGCCCAGAGCATTCCTGCTTTTTTTTTTTTAAAGGTACTGATCTAGAGATTGACCCCAGGGTCTCACATGTAATAGGCAGGTGCTCTACCACTGAGCTATATCCCTAGCTTTTTCGAATTTGGTACCAGGGATTGAACCCAGGGGCACTTTACCACTGAACAACATACTCAGCCCTTTTTATATATTTTATTTAGAGAGAGGGTCTCACTGAATTATTTAGGGCCTAAGTTGCCAAGGCTGGCTCGGAACTTGCAATCCTCCTGACTCAGTCTCCTGAACCACTGGGATTATAGAAGTACCACTGCACCTGGCTTGAATTTTATTTTAATACAGGGTTTCATTAAGTTGTCCAGGCTGGCCTTGAAATGAGATCTTCTTACTTCAACCTCCTAAGTAGCGAGATTATAGGTTTGAACCACCATGCCTGGCCAGGGAACACGATTACACATGCTGATTTTTACTGTTATCAATGGATTTTTGCTGGACACACTCCAAGGGCAGAGTACTGGCCTGTTATTTTGAGGAGGGGCAAGAGGACAGAGATTGGGTGACTCACAGATCAAAGGTCCTGCTGTGGCCTGAGTTTCCACAAGGGGACTATGTGATTCTCTGGGCCCAGCACCTTCCTTCTGCCTCCTGATTCCTCAAGCAAGGGTAACACTCTGCTCTGGCTGGGATTCAAGCCTCATCCTGACTTCCTCCTTCCTCTCAGCCCTGGGATGAGCAGAAGTTCTAGACATGAGCTCAAAAAGGCTGCAGAGGCCAGTTGAGAGTGGAAGCAGCTGGGAAGAGCTGGTCCTCAGATTTCATGAACATCGTCAACAAAAGCAAGGAGGCCTTGGCAGGCACTGGGCACAGAAACAAGGAAGGTTAAGTTCTTCCCAAGACTAGAGCCACAATGTGACAATGTGTGCATGTGACAGGGAGACAAAGAATGCCCTTTGGCATTTGCCAGGAAAGTCTTTTAGAAAAACAGGGTGTGACACTGTTGCCATAGCAACCCCACCAACCTCCAGGGTGCAAATGGTAGATAGCATGACAAAAGGGAAACCCCTCTGAGCTCTGGGCTACAAACAAGAATTACTAGGAAGTAACTGACAATAAAGGGACAAACTTGGGAAAACAAAAGTTATCCCACCGATTTTAGAAACAATTTTTCAGTGATTCTCTTTCCTAAGTTCCAGAATGAATCCAATAAAAATGACATCCACTCTGTGTATCTTGCTATAAGCAGCCAGAACTCTGAACCACCTTCCCAGGAAATACATTTAGCAGTGTGTCCTCAGACACTCAGGACAACCACCACATGTGTGGCTGCTGCCTGGGTCTTCTGGGGGACAGTCTGAGAGGGCAGCTGCAACTTAGGATTTAAGGAGCCTGCATCAGCACACATCACCCCTGGGGCCTGCCCATGTCAGAAAACATCCCCAGTATCCATAGCTGCCAGGTAGGGCTACGCAGTGGTAGGGAGCAAGCAGAGTAGCAAGACTGGGAGACCTGAGGATGTGTGCAGGGTGTTGTGGGGGGCTACAAGCAGGAGGTGGGGGGATATTTCTAGTTCATGATTGGCATGGAGAACTCACTGGGGGTGTCACTCCAGTACCTCTGTTTCTGGCACCTATGGAGCAATGGTGGGGCCCCTGGTGGGTATGGACAGCTCTGTCAGGAGTTACAGTACTAGAGATACCTCACCTATGAATTGGACTCTCAGCTTTCTTAATTGCTTTTTTAAAGGTAGGGCTGTCTACGTGTTTGAAAATGTTTCCCACATCCAGTGAGCAACATTGAGTCCTGATATCTAGAGGAGTTAAGTTCAGGTACAGGAGCCAAGTTCAGACAGAGGAGCTGACAAGCATGGAATCATGGATGGAATCTACTCTCCACTAAACTAAAAGTTGTCCAAGCTTGCATGCTCAGTGAAGAGCTGACCTAGCTACTCCTTAATGAGAAGTGGTGAGACAGTTCAAAACTATGCGGCATTTGTGTCCTCGGTGGGTGAATGAATACACAAACAACTGTAGTATACCTTACAAGCATGTTCCTTAGCAATAAAAAGAAGTAAACGATGGATATGCTCAACGACATGGATGAATCTCAGAAGCATCAAGACAAGTAAAGGAAGCCAGTCAGGAAAACTATGATCTATTTGTATTAGCAGTTCTCAATTTGGGGTGATTCTGCACCTTTGGAGATAACATTTTGCTACCACATTTGGGGAAGAAGGAGAGAATGCTCCTGGCATTTAGTGGGTAGAAACTAATGCCATGGGCTGGGGATGTGGCTCAAGCAGTAGCGCGCTCGCCTGGCATGCGTGCAGCCCAGGTTCGATCCTCAGCACCACATACAAAGATGTTGTGTCCGCCAAGAACTGAAAAATAAATATTAAAATTCTCAAAAAAAACAAAAAAACAAAAAAACTAATGCCGTGCTAAATATCCTAAATGCACAGGATGCCCCCATGACAGGGAGTGATCCAGCCTAAAACATCAATAAATTCTGATTTATATGAAATTCTAGGGGGCTGGGGATGTGGCTCAAGTGGTAGCACGCTCACCTGGCATGCATACGGCCCAGATTCGATCCTCAGCACCACATACAAACAAAGATGCTGTGTCTGCCGAAAACTAAAAAATAAATATTAAAAAATCTCTCTTAAAAAAAAAAAAAAGAAATTCTAAAATAGACAGAACTTCCAAAGAGAGTGGATCACTTCTTGCCTGAAGCCAGGGGAAGAAATGGTCTGCAAATAGTGGTGGCACATAAGGGAACATTTTGGAGGGATGGAAACATCCTGTTTTGTGAAGGTGGAGAGGATAATACAACTATACACAGCTGTCAAAATTCATCAAATTGCACACTTAAAACCAGCGAATTTTACTTTGAAAATTATAAAATAAACCTCAACAAAGCTCCTTTATTTTTTTGGGAGGGGGTTACTGGTGATGGAATCCAGGAGTGATTTACCACTGAAGTTATTATGTTCTAGGCCTTTAAATTTTTTATTTAAGACAGGGTCTCACCAACTTACTAAGGGTCTCGTTAAGTTGCCCAGGCTGGCCTTGAAGTTGTCCAAGCTTGCATCAGATTGTGACTCTTCTGCTCAGCCTCCCAAGTAGCTTCAAATACTGTCTTTTCCACCTTACCCAGTTCAACCAAACTATTTTTATTTTTTCATTATTTATTTATTTGGTACTGGAGATTGAACCAGAGGTGCTTTACTATTGAGCTACATTTCCAGTTCATTACTTTTTTGGTAACAGGGATTGAACCCAGGATTGAATCCAATCCTTTTTATTTTTTATTTTGAGATTGGGTCTCACTAAATTGCTTGGAGCCTTACTAAATTGCTGAGGCTAGCTTTGAACTTGTGATCTTCCTGCCTCAGCCTCCTAAGCCGACCAGTTCTTTGAGACAGTGTCTTGTTAAGTTTCTGAGGCTGGCCTCAAATTTGCAATCTTCCTGCCTCAGCCTGCCAAATTGCTGGGATTACAGATGTGAATCTCAGCATCCAGCTCAACAAAGCTATTTTTAAAGTGTGGCATGGAGTTGGGTATAGGCAGTACACACCTGTAATTCCAGATCACAAGTTCAAGGCCAGCTTCAGCAACTTAAGCCTTAAGCAACTTAGGGGACCCTGTCTCATAATAAAAGGTCAAAAAAGTTGGGGGTGGATCTAGGATGTAGCTCAGTGGTAAAGTGCCTCTGGGTTAAATTTCCAGTATCAAAACAAATAAACAAAGATGGCAGAGAGAAATAGTGCTCAGTTGGCTGTGAAAGAAGTTGGGAGCTAAGCTCCCATACACACTGTGTCATGTGCCAAACACTGCTAGTGAGTGGAGGGCACTGCCATGATGGCTCACAGACAGGCTGCTCTCTGATCTCCAGCCTTGAAGCTTCTTAATAATAAACAGAAAGATCAGGTGGGGTTCTGAAGGAAGAGGCTGAGGCTCTTGCCACACCTGGCCCTACAGATTACTCACTAGGGACAGGCCCTTGGCTACCTAGCTGACATACTCTGCCTCTTCTGGTCTAGAAGGAAACTACTGCCCCTGATGTTGCAAGTCTCTCAATTTTGAGCAAACTCTAGCTAGGGCTTAGGAAAACCCGGAGCCATTATAGGATTTGGAAGATTCAAATTCCACCCATTAGAGAGCCCAGGGATCAAAGCAAAATCCTGCTGAGAACTGGGGTGGCACTGAACAGCATTATGGTTTAGAGTAGGTGTCCTCCAAAAGCTTATGTGTGAGAAAGTTTAAATGAGAAATGATTGGGTTTTACAAGGCTTAACCTTATCAGTGAATTAATTCCTGATGGGATTAACTGAGTGGTAACTGAAGGCAGGCAGGGTGTGGCTGAAGGAGGTGGGGGCATGCCTTTGGGATATGTTTTTGTATCTGACAAGTACAGTCTCTCTGCTTCCTGCTCATCATGTGAGCCACTTCCCTCTGCCATTCTGTCATTCCACCTCTTCTCAAGCCCCGAGGAATGGAGCCAGCTGTCTATGGACTCAGACCCCTGAAGCTGAGAGTTGCCAAATAAACTCATCCTCCTCCCCACCACCAGCAAAAGGATCCTACTTAGAGAAAAACAAGTGGAAGGGAGGCTGGAGGAGCACTTTCTGGCCAAGTCTCTGTGATCTGAAAACTTGGGACTAGAAGGAGTGAGCCTTCAATGCCAACATGGGTGTACAAGGGAAGGTTTTATAGGTGTCCCTGGGAAGAAGAAAAAAATATGCTTTGTAAACATCACTGGGACAGGCAGGTAACAGCTGCCATAGAGAGGGGGGGGGGTTGACACTGCTGAGAGGCCTGGATTCACTGGAAAATTCCCTTGGGTAAGGCTTTTGGAACCAATAATGTCCATGGCCAAATTAAAGGAGCTAAGAAACTTTCTAATGGGATTAGAGGCTGGCACTGGCAAAGGAGGCGGACGGTACGTAATTTTCCAGAAATGGCTCTGTCTCTCACCAAAGGCCCCAAACTCATGGGTTTCAGGGCATGTTCTTGCCTGGGGACAAAGCAAAATTCCAGCAAAGGCCATATGCTGACTCTGTGAGCAACATGAACACCAGTGGAGGGGGAGGAGGAGAACAAAGGCAAAGAAAGGACCCAGGGCACAAGGGGAAGAAACAAAGCTCCCAGCTGATGGGGACCTGGAACCCCATCCTGATATATTAGCAACTTAGGAAACCCCAATAAGATGTACCATGAATATTATTAAATGAAGAACTGCTTTTGGGGGGGGGGGTGTCTCAGTCATTCTAGAAAATGCCAAAGGCCCTAAGAGGGAGTCTGAAGGGAGGATGCTCATAGCTGAGAAAAGCCCCAAGGAGCAGAGGCTAGCATAGCCAGAAGCTGGTTTGCTCACAAGGCAAGGGTTACAAGTATGCCCCCAGCTCTCCTGCATACTTACCAACTAGTTCTTGGGGATCTCGCTTCTCTACTTCTGTGTTATCCTGCAGAAGAGAAATAACACACAGAGGGTAAGATCAGGCCCCTGAGCCAGTCCCTCTCTTCAGGAGATGCCTGATTTTTTTAGGGAAGGAGAAGAGGGAAAATTATAGCAGTGGCACTAAATGAAGGGGAGCAGTGCTTTGGGGGCTTCTGGGATCCCAGAGCCTCCTACCCCTTCTTCCTTATATCAGGTGGGATACTCCAGAGTGCCGTGTTAGTCTTCTTCCATGGCCTCCAGAGCGGAGCAGTTCCAAGTGATGCTGAGGAGAGCCAACACAGCAGCATTCCTGCCTGGGCCACCTGTATGATCTGAACCATGCCTGCTGCTCCCTTGGGCTCAGGAAGCCCCCTGTACCCTGAAGCAGCAGAGCTCAAGATCCTGGCTGCCTCTTCCTCCAGAGCCTAGGCAGTGCCGTAGAGTATATTACTGAGACTGTTGGCACAAAGGAAGTAAGGGGTACTTCTTCATAATATCCCGCTCCCAAGATTGAGACATGAGATTAGTTACTCCTGGAGTTTCATGTTTAGCTCAAGTCAAAAAAGGAGTCTTTACGTAAGGAGGTAGCTTGGCAGCTCACAGAACCCAAGAGCATGTGTACAGCATGCCTTTAATAAGGGACCAAATGAGGTCCCAGTTCCAGGCAGCATTCTTTGGCTGTATATTCTCTCTAGCGAAAAGCTTTTCCTCAATACTTAATGCAAGTCGTCAGTTACTCCCATTTCATCCTGTAGAAACCTAAATACAAAGGCTTCTTTTTATTTTTTAATTTTTTAGTTGTTGTTTTTAATTTATTTACTTATATGTGGTGCTGAGAATAGAACCCAGTGCCTCTCACATGCTAGGCAACCACTTTACCAACTGAGCCACGACCCAAGTCCAACAAAGGCTTCTTATCAAAAAACTGCTTACCTCACTGCACCAGAGTAAATGCTTCATCTAAAACAAATCAATGGATGAGAAGGCAAAGGTTACAACCTAAGCCCCATATTATAAGTTTCTGACACAGCAGGAGGAAGGCATTCCCCCAAACATAAAATGGCAAGAACACACCTGTTTCCTACTGACCAGTAAGGTCAGTGATCTCAAGTGCCACTACAAGTTAATTATCAAAACAGAAAAAGCTGAGTTCACAGAATGTTGTTGGATCTCATTTCCTTTTCTTTCTTGGTGAGGGGAGAGATAAGACAGTGACAACTCTGCAACAAGATCTTCACATGGGAACCGCCACAGAGCTCTGGACTCCATTCACACTGCATCTCAGAAGGGAAGGCACCGTGAGGGTTACCAAATTCCCTCCCAAGCTATGGCCATGTGCCAAGACCAGACTACAAGTGCTTAACCCCTTCCCCAAAAAAGTCCCTCCTGATTAAGAGACAGACTAAAATCCTCTCTCTCTTCTAAACACTGCAGCTATTCATCAAACTGCAAGGGTACAATGTTAAAGCCAGGCTGCTTAGCAACCCACCTTCTAGGCACCCACCCCCTGCCAATCAGGTGGGCAAAGAGGAAAGAGGGCTAGGGTAGAGGAAGGCGGGAGGCGGGCCTGGAACACTGCCACGTCAAGTTCAGGTTGGAGTCATAAATCAGCTGCTTTATAAAGAGCACCAATCTCTCAGGGGACCAACAACAATCCCTTTGTAGAAGTAACTGAAGAAACCATTATTAAAGAGTGGTCAGTAACAAAATGTGGGACTGTAAAATTTTCTTACATTTTTCCTCTAGGAGACAGCCTTCTTGGTGCTGATTGTGGGAAACATCATCTGGGTACATCCTACCTCCCCCAGCCAATACAGGGGACTGACCTGTGAACTCTAAGGGCCCCAAACTCACTGTTTTCCAAGGCCCTGTTTCCTGCCACTCTCCTTTCATGGATAAATATGCAGAGTTGAGAAAGGACGGTTGATAGTCACTGAAATCCTAATCCAGTGTCCATCTGAGTGACAGGAAGCTGGTCACCAAACATGCAAATGTCACTTAAAGCGCTCCCTAAGTACAGTAAAAGTTCAGGAGCCTCCCCATGGCTTCTTATGACCTTTGTGACCTGAGATGGGAGGGGAGGAAGTGTGTGTGGTGATGAGGGATGAATCCTGCATTTCACACATGCCTGGCTGGCTTAGCTGAGGTTCTTTAGTCATATCTGAGGAAGAAAATGATGGGGCAAAAACCAGACAGGAAGTATATTTGTGTATTTTCCTCTTTTATTATTTTGTTGTATGACTCTAGTTATTTTACATGTTAACTAAAAGAGAAAAGTAAACGGGCAGTGGGGGGCTGGGATTGTGGCTCTTCGGTAGAGCGCTCGCCTAGCGCGGGTGGGACCGGGTTCAATCCTCAGCACCATATAAAAATAAAGGCATTGTGTTGTGTCCATCTACACCTAAAATATTTTTTTAAAAGCTTAAAAAAAAAAAAAAGAAAAACTGGGCAGTTGGTTTCCATTTGTGAACTGATCTAGTCCTTGCTTTCTACTCTGTTAGACCAAGAATGGGGTATGCCAGAGAGCACCCAGCTAAGGTGCTAGAACTCGTATTTTACATCCAAAACCCAGGTTTACCTGACCTACCTCAGTGGAACTTGGTTCCACAGGCCTCCAACTTTTGGTACCTCCAAACAAAGAGCTGACCAATGGACCATGGACCTTATTCCAAATGTGAGAAGATTCTCCTGTCTTAATCCCATAAGTCAAATGCATAAATGAGCCTGCATATCTTCAAAGCCATATGAGGCAGTGGGCTTCAGGAAGGGGCCAGAAACATGGAGCTAAGATCTCCTGGGATGTAAGATCTTTGGAGATCTCCTAAGATTTCTGGAGCCCATTGGTGTTATAGGCACCCTTGGAACCTGGAAGGTTCTGGAGAATCCACAGTAGGAATCTACCTCCTGTTGGCCACACCCTGTCCTGTTTTTGGAAGGTAATTCTTCTGCCCTGAGACCAAAAAGCTGGGTGTGAGCTTGCTTAGCCCTGGGCACATCATTGCATAGAGCTGCTTCTGAGAAAACAAACCAAGTTCTTATGGTGCCCACTCTGACAAATCAGGTTCCCTCCATATCTGAGCATAAGACCAGAGGCACAGCATCACCTGTACTTCAATGGAGAGGGGTCCAGACTTAAAACACCACTGAGGAAGTCTTGGCAGAAAGTGGGAATCACTGAAGATGGTGATAAACCTCCCAAGATGCTTTCAGGACCACTTACGCCCATCCATTGAAGCAAGTTTCACTAAATGAAAACAGGCACTATTCTGACAGTAGCAACTTGATTCCACAAGGACCTCTATACAGTGGAAGAAAGGGTGGGTAGGAAGCAGAGGGAGACTGTCACAGTAAAAACAAAGACCCAGAGGAATATCCTCCTAATTGTCAAGCCAGATACTATTCAAGTACCCATGACAGCTATCACAAGCCAGTCATAGGACACATGCATGAGGTAGTATTTTAAATGGCAGAGCTAAGGGGACAGAAAAAAAGGGTCACATTATTCAATTATACCTGCATTCGGAGAGTCTTGCCATGCCCTTAAAGAGGCAGGAAGGGGAAGAGGAGTAATGAAGACACAAGCAAAAGCAATGAGAAATCACTGTTCCTCTTTCCTTCCCATAAGTCACATTTCAAAACTCACAGGGGACACCTGTCTTGACTTGTACAGATCCGTTGCTCTGGCTTCCAGTTGTTTGAAGTAATAAACTCAGCCTGGAGATCTATTTACCAGACAGTTGTCTGAGTCAGTCAGGAGGCATGGAACCCACAGCCCAGAGACAAGAAGGCAACAGCACACGTCTCTCAGGTAGAAAAGGTTGAGAGGGACTCTCCTAGTCTATAGGAAAGTTGAAAGAAAGCAGCTCCTAGGAGAAATCCCTTTCAGCTCCCTAGTTCAAGTCCAATTAAGACACAAGGAAAAACAAAAGCCCAAATCCACAGCTTTCCAACAGAAGCCACGTGAGAAGACAAGGGAGGAGGAAAGAACCACTCTAGTTCACATGCTGCTCCCCAGCCTTCACCTGAGACCAAAGTCCCAATAGCTAGAGCATGACGTGGCTACAGCAGGCTGTAGAACTTGCCAGTTTGGTTTAACTGTGACAGACACTTGGGAGAACACACCAGCTATGGCTGTAGGTCAGTAGCAGAGCCCTGGTATTCTCAGGAATTACAGAACCTAGAATTTGGTTCTCCCTGTAAAGAATACGAAAGCCCAGTCACCGATGAAGCTGATTGGGGCACAGGAAGGAAGTAAAAACAATATAAATTCATGAAGATAGAGGAGCTGCCATTGGAGCTGGGAGGATTTACTCAGCATATCCTGAAGCATGTTTATTTACAGCCAGCAATATTTCGAAGACCCTCCCTAGAACCAGTCTCACAACACACACACAAAGCTCCAGTAACAAACTCATAACAGTACTGGCAGCCTCTTACATCTAGATTCTGCCAATCAATAGTTTTCTTTTCAGGTTTGGGAATATTAAGCACAGAGAAAGCACTCTGAGCAGCACACAGAGACGCCTCTACCAGAGCCAGAGACAGCATGTGATGGATTTCAGCTGGGCAATCTAATTTGGGATATGGGGAGGTAGACTGGTAAACTAATACCAACCAAACTGTATCATCTCAGCTCTGTGACAGCCACATAGTTATAGAGCCCTAATGCTATCTTACTTAATGAGCAAACTATCTACTTAAATGAATCTTCACATAGTCCTGGGGCCCTCTTCTCCCCTCTCCACACCAGGGCTTTGCAATGCTTGCTCCCTGTCCACTGTTGCCTAGTAAACCCTATGCAGTCTTCAGACCTCAGTCTAGGGAAGCTTCTTCTGCCTCCATCCACTCAGACAGGGATGACACCCTGTTCTACTGTGTGTGCTTGCAAACTGTCCAGCATATTGCCTAGTATAGTCAGTACCTGGCCCACAGCAGATGTGCAAACACTGTCACACAGAGAGGCACTCTCCACTGTAAGTTTTCCTTCAGTCTAGGGCAGGGTTTTGTGGCAACCTTTTGATGCAG